GACAGAGGCATCAATTGAAGCAGTCTTTGATGTATAATGAGCCAGGGGGTGGTCTTTGTTCGGTAGTTACATCTACCGAATGCAATAGGCAGAAATAGTGTACTAAAAGGGGGATTTCTTCACATTCTCCTTTTGATTGGGTGATCTGTGAGAGTATTGTGATTGTTAGCTGTTAAAATAGTAGAGTTAACCCCTTAAGGACACATGACGGAAATATTCCGTCATGATTCCCTTTTATTCCAGAAGTTGTGTCCTTAAGGGGTTAAAAGAATAGAGCAGCATCTGGCTCTATTACAAATTAGGGCCAGTCAATCACATCTCCTGATACAGGCATTAGTCTGGGAGTTACACTATATTGTTAGCTTGAGTTTGTTTTACTGTGTTACTGTACATATCACCGTAACCGTCGATACCAGACTGCTTAACTGTTGTAAAATATCTTATGAGACCCTATTCCTGATATCTACTAGATATAAGATTTCCAAGAATGGGCATTTGTGTTTTGTGTATGGAAAACCTCAATGCCATTCAATAAATATACAATCACTTCATGGTTCCTATAATTTCTTCAGAATCCCTTCCATTCTAAATGTATTTTTTTTCTGGCAGAGCAAAAGATATATCCCGTTTTGAATACACAATTTTGTCATAAGTATGATGACATACCAAGAAAAAGCTTTGTCTCTCTCTAATAAATGAACCCCACTAAGTGTGAAGATTACACAAATTAAATGTAAACTGTCAGAGATAAACACATTCCTGTTGTATTAATATGCATGCAATTTAGCAAAAAATAATCAGTAAAAGTGAAATGGAAAACTCAGATATGGTAAAATATTTTCTCCACACAAGCATTTAAAATAAGTAGCTTAATTGTAGTAGTAGCTTAATTGTTTCTTACCTATAGTTTTGTTTTGTTTTTAAAGCAATTCAGTCTAAAAGCCTTCATAAATGCTGAAATATAAATTATTCTATATACCCATAGACACCTACTCTTTAGTTTTCTGATCCTAATAAGCACTTGTGGAAGATTAAGTAAATTAACAAACTAAATTTAAAATCAATTCTGGTAACTACAGTAATTGAGAGATCAATGTTTATGGCTACATAGAAAGCAACACAATAACAGTTAATTATATGTTAGTCTTTGCGGCTCATCCATCAAAGATTTGTTTTCGACAATGATAAATAAGCCTCTCAATAAAGTACGTTTTCATTCACATAGGTGGAATAAAATAACATTGTTTAGATGAACGAGTACAAAACTTTTATAATGTATCCCCTTAACCTTCTGTTTTAACTCCGCTTTCTGTTTGCTTGCTTTACACGGTTTGATTGGCTGTTTTGCACTTAAGGAGACAAGCAATATTGGCCTTTTTGGTATGTGTTCAACCATTATTTCCACCTTTCTCATTTATTGCACACACAAATATATATATTTTTTTTTCATTTTTTTTTTAGTTTTAGCAGTTAGTATATCCATCGCATAGTTACATGCATAAAACAGTGAGTAAAACAGAGTGACACTTGTGTTGTACATCATACATCATCTAACAATATTGGTCAACAAGTATTTGACCACTAGAAACAACATTATGGTGATTGTCAATTGATAATAGCATTGAGAAAAGTGTACAGTTTACGGATTGTACACTATGGATACTCAAAACTATGAAACACAACATAAAGAAAAGAAGTAATGTGCAAATCATATAAAACAATCTCAGTCTTTCCTATGAGAACCCAATGGGTCACTTCTAGTACATGAGGTGCAATGTGCATTGTGTCAGGGTTGGGATCCCAGTCTCCCGGTATGAGGGTCAGCAGGGGGACCTGGATATTGTAGCTGGGTGTTGATTACAGTTGAGAATGCTAGCCATGGTTGTTTTGCTTTTCCCATGCCTCCCAGACAGTCCGGAATAGCTGGCCCTTCTTGCTAGAGGTTTGCGACATGTGTTTGTATACGTAGAACTATTGAATTTTATCTCTTATCTAAAGGGGGCAGACTGGATTTCCAGTTGAGTGCTATGAGGTTGCGGGCTGCTAATATAGTTAATGCAGTTATTTGTGTTTATTTATTGTCTTGGTCAGGGGGGAATAACATAAGTAGGCAGGTGGAGGCTGTCACGGGGAAATCTTTCACTCCCATTGATTTTAAAATGGTGGAAATATCATTCCAGCGTGGGCAAATCTAACTGCATAACCACCAGACATGAAGGAAAGTACCCTCTTCGGAGGCACATCCCAAACAGGTGAAGGAGGTCATTGGGAAGATCCAATGCAGTTTGTGGGGAGTCATGTACCACCTATAAATAAGTTTTCTATGTGCCTCGATGTGTGAGTACAATTGAGTCCACTTTGTGTGGTTATTGGGGGCTTTCAATCAGTCATCACTGTTCAGAGTTTTGGCACAGTCTAATTCCCACTGGGACCGACACCTTATAGGTTTGTCTGGTGTTACTTCCATCCAGGCTCTATAGCATAGTGAGAGAGCCTTGGGCTTGGTCGGCCCTGATTAACATCTACAAATATACATTCTTAATGGACAAAATGTGCATTAATTTGATGTGACATGCACATAGATGAATTATGAAATATGAAAAAAATGAAAAAAAAAAAAAATCTAATATTTGAAGATTTATACAATAATTATTTGTTCATAATTAGTACATCTAAAAAAACAGCAATTCAAAATAAAACCACATATTTGTCTTTATAGAGTGCATCATACAGTGAGGGAAAAAGTATTTGATCCCGTGCTGATTTTGAACGTTTGTCCACTGACAAAGAAATCATCAGTCTATAATTTTAATGGTAGGTGTATTTTAACAATGAGAGACAGAATAACAACAAAATAAATAAAGGAAAAACATATGTCAAAAAAGTAATACATTGATTTGCATGTCAATGCGAAATTCGAAATACTAACCCTTACCTATAAATCTCTAAACAACTCTAGCCCCTGTTACATTTCTTCACTGATTTGTAAATATGCCCCTTCTCAGTCTCTCCACTCTACTTCTCCTGTCCGCTGCTCGCACCCTTACTGCTTAGGTGATTGTAGGACTTTTCACAGGTGGTCCCATTCCTTTGGAAAACACTGCCTACCCCAATCAGATTCTACCCTAGTCTTCTATCATTTAAGAAGGCTGAACTTGATGATCGCAAGTCTCTTTTCAGCAACTGTAATTACAATGTAACTATGTAAGTTCCTCAAAACCCATCTTTTCAGAAATGCTTATGGCTTCCCAGAATAACTTCTAATTTACAAATCTGTCTTTCTCCTAAAGAGCCTCATTTCACTCTCATTACCAGTTCTGCTACATTTCCACCTTATTGTTTGCTGTCCCTCTTAATGCTCTTCCTATTGTGTCTTTATACTCCACTCCTCTAGACTGTAAGCTTGTTTGAGCATGGTCCTCGTCTACCTATTGCTCCTGTAACATGTATTGTTAAATTTCCCCCTTTCATAATAAATAATAAAAAAATTAGAAAAAAAAAAAATAATATATATATATATATATCTATATATATATATATATAAAATACAGAATACAGAATCCAGCGCACTCGCTTATTCACTAAACAATGCTTTCAAAATCTTAGAGATTGTAATAGTTTTATTTAAAAACACCTCACCTAGGCAAAAAATAATGGGGGTTTAGTTACATTATATGATCATATATTGCATAAGCCTACCACAACGTCAATGTACCTCATTCTTGGCAGGTCCTACTCTAGCAGCCTAATGCTTGCCCTTATGAGATTAATCCACTTACTTGTGAAATACTTCCTTACTGGGACTCTCTGCAAGTCAAGGCTAAATAGGGTCCTGGAATGAGGCACCTGTGACAGGGAGGGGTGCAAAACCAAGGAGCTGGCCTGGACTCCCAAATATACAAACAAAACCAAGAGGGCTGCACTCACCTGAACATGCATACATTACAGGGTGCTGCTGGGGCCAAAATATATAAAATACAGGGCGCAAGCATTAGGCTGCTAGAGTAGGACCTGCCAAGAATGGGGTACATTGACGTTGTGGCAGGCTTATGCAATATATGATCATATAATGTAACTAAACCCCCATTATTTTTTGCCTAGGTGAGGTGTTTTTAAATAAAACTATTACAATCTCTAAGATTTTGAAAGCATTGTTTAGTGAATAAGCGAGTGCGCTGGATTCTGTATTCTGTATTTTATATATTTTGGCCCCAGCAGCACCCTGTAATGTATGCATGTTCAGGTGAGTGCAGCCCTCTTGGTTTTGTTTATATATATATATATATATATATATATATATATATATATACACATACATACATTTCTGGTCGGGGTTATTAAGTCAAATATAATTTAACCTATACAAGCTAGAATAAACAAAAGTCAGTTGAGGTGTGCCAAAACCGGCGATCTGTTAGGCCTGTTATAAAGAGGGCCCACCTGGTAGAATTATGTATATAAAAAAGGGGAAGAGTTGGGACGACAACTTGTCAAAATTACATCAGGTAAGTGTGATAGGCCCTGTTAGGTGTTTTATAGGCTGATATTTCCCCTCCCACAACTCCAGGCTACCACCTTTTATTTGTAGTCAGGATTATTAACTCAAATATCATTTAACCTATACAAACTAGAATATACAAAAGTCCATTGACTGAACCTAATTTTGAGTGTTTTAGAGCAATACAACATATAATGAAGATGATATTGTAACCGCATGTGGTTCCCTTATTTACCACTATAATGTCTTAAAGCATAGAACTTAGTAGGGCTAACCATACAGATATCTTAGCCATAATTTTACATAGTCAGTAAGAGATCCTCTATTTAACATATATAAATAATTGAGAATACAATATAAAATAAGGATTGTCTTGGAAACAATAGTTTTGTCTTTTTGGATATTTATTATATAAAAATATAAATATAAAATCCATTATAGCAGAGTTTATAAGATTAAATTACATGCTTGCTAATATTATTAATAGGTTAACATACCCTTCTGAACATGTCATCATGTCAGCCTCTCTGTCATTTTAAGATGGAGCAGCGTCTGTCTCCAAGTCTCTCCTCTGTGTCTTAACATTTAAAAGTACACCTATTTATACCTTAGGTGTCTCCATTTTAGGGTTACCGTAGTTCATTTACTTTATTCATTTTAGGACCTCCCTTAATTTGGCAAACATACAAGGCCATGACTAAAGGGTGCATACGTCATGGAAATTTTCCTGACTTAGTTCAAGATGGCATCTTAAAGTCTGAATAGGTTATCTGTTGTTTATACTAAGTCGTAAGTGTACAGTCGTGGGAGATTCCCGGATTTGGGGAAGTTCCATTAACTTGGGGTTACCACAGTATATTGTGTACTGAAAGAGTCGTAGTATAGCCTTGAAGCTTGTTTATGTATTATTGTTATTGTAATTCGTCTGGGACAAAATGGCGCAAACATATTATGCACTGAGGTTATTGCTTAAAAAACAGTTATGAAAAACAATATGTTCCATTTCTAACACCTTGTCAGTTTGCAATATCTCTTAAAGACAAAGTACACAGTTTAAAAAAAACAACATTTCATTCTAAAACTTGCAATATTTGCATTTGCCCATAACAATATCATTGGTAAAAGTGATGTTTATTTATAACTGCAAAAAAACTAATATAAACATTAAATTTGGCCAGTGTTTGTGACTAAGAGGCTTTGAGGAAAGACTGGACATAGCCACTTTTAAATACCCTGGTTTGTCTACTTTTTCAAACAGTATACCAAGATGTGGGTAATTTTCATTCCTGGGCGGTCATACGGTCTCAAAGACAACATAACAATCTGGCAAATTTCAATGTGTAATAACTGGTAGGGTGAAAGCCCTATATTTGACCCTGTAACTTTCCAAAACACCATAAAAAACTGTACATGAGGGGTAATGTTGTACTTGTGAGACATTGCTGAACACAAATATGTGTATTTTATTGCAGTAAAAGCTAGCAGTATTATGACATTCACAGTTAAAATGCTGTGCAGAACTGAGGAAATAACAATCCTTAATTTCTCACACTTTTTTATATTTTATTTATATTAAATAATGTTTATAAATGAAATATTTGATGTGAAATGAAAGTTCTGTTTCTCCTGAATAAAATGATATATAATAAGTGTGGGTGCATTTAATATGAAAGGTGAGTTACGGTTGAACAGACATATAGTGCAAATGTTTTGTTTACATTTTGTTTTGATCTGAACTTGTACAATTGCCTCAGTACTTAAGGGGTTAAATGACATTATTATTATTATTACTTATAAAGTGCCAATAAATTCTGAAGGGCTTAACAGACAAGCAGACAAGTTGGACACACAGGAACAGAAGGATTGAGGACCCTGCTCAATGTGTGTACATGCTAAAGTGAGGGGGTATAGTGACACAAAAAGTAAAGGTAGGGATAGTATTCTTTGAGGGCTTAGGGTTTTGTTTTGATGACAGTTGCAGTAGAGGAAACAGGGTGTTTGGTGAGAAAGCTGTTTGACTGTTTAATTGATATGAAATCCTGAAGAAGTAAGTTTTCAAAGATTTATTGAAGGAGTGGAGACTGGGTGAAAATCTAATAGAGAGGGGAAGGGCATTCCATAGGAATGGTGTAGCCCTAGAGAAGCCTTTAAGGTGAGCATCAGAGATAGGAATACAAACAGAGGTATGATGTAGGTCTTCAGCAGAACATAGGGTCCTAGATGGGACATATTTGTGTATAAATGAGGATAGGTAGGTCAGAGCAGCATGATGTAGAAATTTGTAAGCAACTACCAGGATCATAATTTGGAGTCAATGTAGGGACTGACAGGGGGGGGACGGACGTAGGAGGTGCGAGCGTACAGGAAGATGAACCTTGCTGCACTATTCATTATAGACTGTAACAGGGCAAGTTGGGAACACGTTAGACCACTGAGAAGTGGATTACAGTAGTCAAGGCTAGAAAGGACAGTGGCATGGACAAGCACCTTAGCCAAATCAGGTATTAAATAGTGGCGGATGTGTGCTGTTTTTTTAATATGGAAGCAACAGGATTTGGCGATTGTTTGGACATGAGTGGTGAAGGAGAGGTTGGAGTCAAAAAGAGCACCTAGGCAGCGAGCCTGCAAGGTAGAACTAATGGTAGCATTATTGACATGGAGGGAAAGAGACAAAAGAGTAGCAACACTTGAAGGAGGAAAGAACAGAAGTTCTGTTTTGGACAGGTTAAGTTTAAGGATATGAGCTGCCATCCAGTTGTAAATAGTAGAGGCAGTCAGTGACACAAATCAAGAGGGGTGGTGAGAAATCAGGATAGAACAGGTAGATTTGGGTGTCATCCACATAGAAATGATACTGGAAGTGAAAGGAGCTGATGAGTTTACCAAAGGAGGCAGTATAGATTGAGAACAATAGGGCACAAAGAACAGACCCTTGGGGAACACCAACAGACAGGATTTGGGGAGTAGAGAGAGCCAGAGAAAGAGACACTGAAATAACCACAGGGAGAGGTAGGAAGAGCACCAGGAGAGAGCGGTATCTCGCAGACAGAAATTATGGAGGATGAGAAGAAGCTTGATGATCAACAGTGTCAAAAATAGCAGCATGATCAGGAGAACAATGCCCAGATTTAATTTGAATGGCCACATACGCAGCTTGATCATTTTTTCCTATTGAATTTACTTTGAACTTGAAATACTTTCAGCTTTGTTGTAATAATATCTTTGGGTCATACCATGAGCATTTAACAACGTCTATTCAGATAAATATTATTATTTTATACGTGTCTCCTATATTTCACAAATATGTATTTTTTTTTATATTTGAAAAGCTACAATTACATTTATAAAGCAACAACTCTTTATTCTGCATGTGGGTCCATCTATTTTAGCTTCTTGTCAATTATTTGTTATAAACTTTGTCATTAGTGATGTACCGAACGGTTCGCCGGCGAACGGTTCCTGGCGAACATAGCATGTTCGCGTTCGCCACGGCGGGCGAACATATGCGCGGTTCGACCCGCCCCCTATTCGTCATCATTGAGTAAACTTTGACCCTGTACCTCACAGTCAGCAGACACATTCCAGCCAATTAGCAGCACAGCCTCCCTAGCAGACCCTCCCACCTACTGGACAGCATCCATTTTAGATTCATTCTCAAGCTGCATGCTTAGTAAGAGGAGGGAAAGTGTAGCTGCTGTTCATAAGATAGGGAAAAGCATAGCTAGGTTAGGGATAAGGGTATGCTTTTTTTTTATTTTTTTTTCTATGTAATGTAAATGCACTTAGTTGTCTGCCACTGCTGCCAGCTTCTGTGTCAGGCTCACAGTGCCCATTTCCCCAGTCAGTGCCACCAATTACATCTGGTGTCACAATAGCTTGGATTTAAAAACAAAAAACTTTTTTCACTGTTATAGATTGAATAGCAGTCAGTTGTCTGCCACTGCGGCCAGCTTCTGTCTCAGGCTCACAGTGCACACTGTGCCCATTTCCCCAGTCAGTGCCACCAATTACATCTGGTGTCACAATAGCTTGGATTTAAAAACAAAAAACTTTTTTCACTGTTATAGATTGAATAGCAGTCAGGTGTC